TATACATGAAGTTATTGCTATTTATGTTTTATGAGTTGTTATGTTTGATTGAAGAAAATGAAGTGTGGATACTGATTGTGGCAAAAATTGTAGTATTGGAGGCCACATGGTGTTGAATGGTTGCTATTAGAAGTGTTGATGTGTTGTTTGCATTAGCTTACAATGTTATAGCAATAATGGATGATTATGGGAATGAGATTTTACACTTCCTTTAAGATGTTAAAGACTATTAAGGGGAGGTTTATTTGATCCACAAGGTAAACCTATGGTTAATGTCAATAGGAATTGATGTGGCATAGTTAATATGAAATTCGGATAATGCGCTTAGGGGTTTTGGTAACCCTGCTTCTGTATTTCGACCATAACTTGAGTTTAAAAATCTAAATGAGATGATTCTTGAAGCATTAGAAAATAAGACACAGACCTATAACTTTTATGTTTTGCCAAGAGCCAATTCGTTGAGAAAAGGATAGAAAATGGCCTGAAGTATAAACTGGTTATTAAAGTTTAAGATTAACATGATCAATTCTTATGATTTGAATTGATTATTCATGTATTATGTAAGTATGCCATGTACTAATGTTTACCCATTAGTTAGATGATCTTTGAAAGATAAACTGGTCTGTGTCAATACATGATTAATGTTATGAAAGGCATGAAGATGCAATATAATATATGTTTTAAGATGATATATGTGAGCAAGAGGTAATGTAAATGGATTGATAATCCATAGATGAATTAAAAGTATTAAGCTCACCAAAATATGTATTTGCATGCCATAAGGTTAGAGATGCAAATAGACATGTAGATATGCATATAGACATGATGGAAAACGCGTAAGCATATCCTCGTATACCGGTTGAGGAAAGATGAATATAGTTTAGATGCTAAATAACGCGTAAGCCTCTCCGATGATATGAGCGCTAGATGATTTGAGGCTAGATGATATGAAGTGTTAAGATGCTAAGAAAAGTCCGATCGGCTAGACGTTAAATGTTTCATATGCATTTAGTTGCATTACATGAGTTATGATGTTAGTTACATCATGAGATGATTATACTCAGTTAGAGATTTTAGATGTTATGTCATGATAAGTGATGTGTTAACAGATAAACTGATCCTCTTTACTAGCGATTAGGCTCACCTTTCATTGTTGATTGCTTTGCAGGTAGACTAGAAGCGGAGGATGCTAGAGACAGGGGACTACACGTGAGGGAGATGATTTATTACATCTCGATGTTTATCTTGATGTAAATATGTAAATGATAAATATTTGTGAATACATTTGGAAGCTTCCACCCTATAAAATAGTTTGATCTTGTAATTCTTAAAGTTTGTAAATTATAAGTTTAGATCCTGCGTGACATTTATATGCATGTTTTGGATATTATTATTATTATCCTTATACAGATTTTTTCTAAATACAACTCGTTCTCCGGACATGTATCCTCGGGATTCTCATTGAGGGATATTCAGAGGACCTGACTGGAGGGGGGTTTTACACATGGTCACTGTGCGCCATGGAAACATGTTAGTGAAAAGGTCACTTCCACCAAAAAAAAAAAAAAAAAAAAAAAGGGTCCTAAATGTGAAGATACTTATGGGCTGGGGATTCCAAAGATGCTTCCGGGTGAAGAAACCGTACTTTTACAAGTTGGCAGTAGTCACGAGCAATCTTGCATCGCTACTCAGTTCGGGTAGACGACCAAACATCACAATGCTGTTAAAGTCTGGCAGAGCCGTCAACCTAGTCGTCTTATTTTCTACAAAGAGACAAAAAGTTCGTTAATTTCACCTATCGAAGAGGAGCTGAAGAAAAAGGGGCAGTTTGCAAATCAAAGGAAAGGAAAACCTACTCGACTCCCTGAATTAACAAACACCATCGAATGCAAAAAAGAAAAATTTGGTCTCATAAGCCCCAACATTACTGGGGTAACCAAATATTCTTCCCTCGATCGAAGATCGCTTCGAGAGATAAAAAAAGTCTTTATCGTCTTTATCTTTACTCTTCTTCAAATAGTAAGCGCATGCGAGCTCCAACGCTGTCAACTCACCAAGACCATTTTCGCCACATGCGATATACATAGCAACCACTATCATATACGCATTAGGCATCAATTGTAATAGCGCGACCTCAAAGTGGTCGAGGATCGATCTGATGAAGGGGTGAGAAGGTATCAATGCCCCACACTTAAAGATTGCCTCAGAGATCGTGACCATTCTCTCTAAAGGATTCCGAGTTGTGTACGTCCTATGCTGATAGACATCTACGCTAAGCACGAACTAGTCCACCACTTTTTGTATCTCATCCTGGGTGGCTATTGATAATATCTCTTGCACGGGACCTACTAAGGTGCCTGGCGCTTGTGAGCTCGTCCCCTCGGTTGCTCTGGTCTGTGAAGTATCCATTGCTCCTAAAGTCTAAAAAAGAGTTGACATGCAGAGATGACTCAATCTCCGTATAGTGTCCCGTACGATGACGTGGAAGAGCAAAAGAAACCCTAATTTACCCTCCTTAACCCCTAGAAAAACCCTTGAGAATGAATTCCCAAGAATTTGTGCCCCAAGTTTTCACTTTTTTTTTTTTTTTTTTTTTTTAAAAGGTTTTCTTTTTTTTACCACTGTCCAGAAACATGCATCGTGTAAGTTTACCAGGCAGTTCATACCCACCATTACTGTAAAGTCAAGCTTTTAACAGAATTAAAAGAGTAAAATGAAGAAGAATCCTCCATACCTCTTGATTGTTGGGGACGAACCTATCGTAACGACGAGTGCGCATCAATTAGAAGAAGAACGGACTGATTTCACAAGTGCAAGAGCTTTGCTTTTCTCTCTGAAAATGTGAGTTCTGTGATAAAACTTGAGGCAAACCTGAGGTTTTATAGGGGGAAAGACGATGATTAGTTTCTCAGCAAGCAACGCTTGGGCGGGATACGTTTCTCACCATTGATTACAACCACGTGTCGTTAATCCACGTGAAGAGTAACCTTCACGCTTCGTGGATGCCAATCGACGTTTCCCTCCATTGGAGTAACCAAGCGTTAGCGTGGCTATCTCCTCCACGCATATAATGCTCTGAAAGGGAATATCGTTTTAGCATGACTTGTATTTAATGCGCATGACTGGCACTTATTACGCAAGAGACACGTCTGTTAGAATAAAGTTTACTTTATTGACCAGACCAGTTGTCAAGCGTAACGGATAACATCAGAAGTGGTCATTCGAGTAAAACACTATTCTCCATGTATCGATTTCGAGACGATGCGACCCCTTGTTTTTAGCAAAAATATGCTAAGTATTTTCAGGTCGTGAGCAACAGATGAAGTCCAAAGCATGTTGGTATAACACTGAGCAGGGTCCGACCCAGGTCGCTGAACCTGGGGGGGAAGGCCGCCTCAGGTCACTTGTGCTATTCTTAGAGACCTATGCTGCGATCTCCTTACAGCTCACTGGTTGGGTTGAACCACTAGTTTCACATAATCTTAATTGCTTGTCTCACACAGCTGGATCAAGCGTCACTCAGGATAAGTCAGGTCACAGCATAATCATGAAGTTCTCAGGGTTCAATCCTTAAACCTTGAGAATTAGGGGGCTTCTGTTATGCCTAAAAATTCAGGGCTGACATAAGCTCATGACAGCAAGGGCCAATCAGAGTTCAGGAAGGCTTTGTGTCATCCAGACGTTGCCACGTCGCATAAGGACGGAAAAAGTAAGGTTATCGTCAGCGTGGCAGGTGAAAACGTGGCTTGTGAGTGGCTAGGAATTATCCACCTGCCCAAGCCCCACGAGATTTAAGGATATCTCCTATATAGTCAGCCAATGGGAAGCAAGGTAGAAATTGTACCACACCTACTCGACTGCAAAATCATAATTATTACCTTGAATCCCTCGATTATAAATAGAGGGCTCCTCTCTCATTTACAAGATTTGGGCATTTTTAGCTTTCTAAAAGTATATGCTCTCTCTGTATTTGAATTCTCTCTAGATTGTAACTCAGCTCGCTGTCCACGACCTGACTGTAATCATCCATCAATACAAATATAGTGGACGTATGATTCACTTTTGAGCATCCGAACCACTTTAAAAATTGTCTCTTGTTTATTCTTTCGTTGTACATTTCTATGTTACATGTAATTTTTAAGTCCGCTTAGTACTTTACACATGCGAGTCGTTGGTGTCAAAATCAAGTATCACCAATATCTTTTAGTTTAAAATATACCTAGCATAATTAAAATCATTTCGTGGTTTCAATTGTTGCAAGGAGAAACCATTTGAGTAGCCCATAGTTTTGGATGATAAGGTAAGGCCATGGACAAAAGAAATAATAAAAAATCCAAACATTAAGTTTAGGCCGTTTGCCTTGCTGTTGAAGCTTCCAAACTAATGTCGTTGAAATTGAAGAAATTTGAGGGGCATTGTTGTCCGGTTCTCAAGACGTTTTGATTCCAGATTCCATCAAATATTAACCAAACAATGACATGTGATAGGTTGGAGCATTGTTGAGGAGTGTACAAATTTGGCTTTCATGTAATGCTTTACAAAATGTCAAATACTTACAAATTAAGATTACTCCGCATTTGGTACCAGATGGGCATTGCAATTTCAATTCCAGCTTTTTGAACAATTATTAGTCTTTGCAAGGAATCTCTGACAACACCAATTAAAATCAAATTATAGGATTAGTTTATCAAAAATAACAATCACAGTCAAATTCAACAATAACTCACAAATTAAAAACAGCATCCATGATAGACCCGTGACCCAACTGCCAATGACTTGTAACACCCCTCAATTGAGAACCAATCAAAACTAACTAAAATCTCATTTTACTTTTTGGTTAAACAAATTTTGAGTTTTTTTCTCTTCTTTTAACAATAACAACAAAGAATATTCTGATACCGACTTAAGGATTCCACACACCAGAAACTTGTCGATCCAACACGTGATAAGCACGTGCACAACTTACCATATTAATTTGTGGCCCACTTTCGCTTTCTCACCATCCTTTCCTTTCCTTTCCTGTAATATTAGCACACTCACAACAGACCTGCTTGAAATTTCTCCGGACACCGGTTATAATCTCAGCCCTTTCCCAAAGCCCACGATCTCTCACCTAATTTAGCTTCACATTATTATTTTCCATCTCTCCTCTCCTTCTCTCTCTCTTTTCTTCTACAAAATTTATTCATAAATCATACTCACGTCGGGACGGGACATTTCTCGGCCAATTTGTTGGTTGGTAAGGTTTTTTTTTTTTTTTTTTTTTTAATTGTTGTTTATTTAAATCTCTTTCATTTGTTTATATTTAACAAATGAGATTATAGTGACTAAACTTGATTTTTCTTTTTATAATTTTTTTCAAGTTTTAGTAGCTACTTTTTATAGAGAATTTTTTTTTCCTGATATTTCTGGGTAAAATATAAGGATATAAAATGTGTGGTTTTAGGGATTTCGTGGTTTATGCATGTTTATTTTCTGCATTTATTTTTCCCAGTTTTCCTTCTTTTGTTTTTCCTCCCTTTTGTTTCTTGAGAAACTGGAGGAAAAACAAAAGAAAATTTTTAATCTTGTTTTTATCATTCTTTCTTTTTCAATGTTAATTTCTTAATCGTAAAGCGTCTTGTGGAAGGAAAAATGGAGTCATACAATCAATATTTAACAAATTTATTTGTTTTCGTTTCAACCTTCATGAATTTCCAGTTACTATATTATCCAATTTAGTCAACCGTTCTGGTATATTTAAATTCTGACTGATGGTCGTTTTCAAAATATATTTCCTGTGATTGTTTTTTTTACTTTTTTAATAACTTTTTTTTTCATACGGATTGGGGTTTATTTATTTAGCATACTAATGATCAGAATCTGGGCGTGCAGAGATGAAGATGGTTTTGGAAACGATGATTTGCTGTTGAAGAAGTGCAGTGTATTCGGCTTCTTTCTTGTTCTTTTGGTTATCGCTTGTTGGAAATGGGCTGTTTTCATTCTAAAGTTGCTAGACAGCCCCCTGGACATGAAGACCCTGTAGTTCTCGCCTCACAAACTGCTTGTAAGTCATGGAGATGAGATTTTTTTTGTTTTCATTAGCTATTGTTTTCAGTTTCTACGAGTAACGGTTCCATGCTTCTTTGATTGGTACTAGTTATGAAATCCAAAAAAAAAAAAAAAAAAATCTGAAATATTATCATCATAAACCTAAACTGTTTATATCTTGGAAGTTGAGGGTCCTGATTTGTTCTGTGTTTTATATTTTGAGTTTTGATGTATAACGTGTTTTTTTGTTTACTTAACATATTGATTTATTATTGAAGAAAAAATAATAATTCTGATGATGAGTGTGAGTATTTTACCGGTACCCAGGCTTGCTGCTATATTGATAGTTTATTTTGACTGCTATATTGGTAGTTTATTTTGAGTTAGAATGAAGAAAGGGTGATTTGTTTTCGAGTTGATATATGATACGGAATGAAGAAAATAATTTTTCAAAGATGGTTATGTTCAAATAGATTCTGTTAACCTCAAGGACTAGGCTTGGGAGTAAAACCCCTTGGTTCCAAGATCAAGGGTTCAAATCCCTTGGGGCCATCTACTTTGGAATATTATGTTTCTTGGTTGTTTAGGTTGTAGGGTCTGAAGTAGTCCCCAGTTTAGAACCCGTTGAAGTTAAATTAATCTGCTCTTTGTGCCCATCTGCTCATGTGCTTTATTTTATGTTAAGTCTATTCATATTAATCTTCTGGCTTTTCTGATCCCCAGTTAGTGTCAGTGAAGTTGAAGCGCTTTTCGAACTATTCAAGATGATCAGCAGTTCTGTGGTTGACGATGGGTTAATAAGCAAGGTATTTTGTGTTTCAGTGCTTGTGGCAAAGGACTTTCTTCATCTCTCTATAGATACATTTACATGTAAACATACATACATCATATATGACAATATGTTAACTCAGTTGGTTGGTATGTAAAGTAAAAAGTGCTATCTCTTTGCTCATTAGTTAAATCTCTTTCTTAGATGGTAATTTAGAACAATTGTCTTCCCTCAACAAACCCCCTAAATCCCCTGGCAACCAAAAAAATAAAAATTTGCACGAATTAATATAGGGGTAAGATCCCGCATATGTAGAATGGATAACATATGTACATCATGGAATACATTGTGTATTAATTTCTTGGTTTAAGTGGCTGGACTGATGATGTCTCTCTCTCTTTTTTCTTTTTATATATATATATATATATATATTTGGATTCACCATAATATAGGCACCTGCTTGTTTACTTACTGTGGCTGTGGGCTCAGTCACAGTGCTTCTCTAGTATTTTGTGTCATAACACCTGACCCTCTACCATTTCATTCCTTACCCTAAAGATAATTGCAAAGTGTCAACCAAGTGCTGTTGACTTTTGCCTTCCTATGGGTTTTTTCTTTTTTAAGACAAAGTATGGTGCTCTTCTAGGAAAAAAGAAAAGAACTTTTTGTTTGCTTACTTGAACAGAAGAGACAAATTTTGAATACATATATATATATATATATATATGAAGATTGTCTCACATCTAGGTGTCATAATTTTCTTTACTTCCGAACCTACAATCGTGAGCTGTTGAAGACACTCTAGTTTTCTTTCTTTAAATCCAAGGCTGAATTTCATTTTAGAATTATAAATTGGAAAAAGTCTGGCAGGTGCCTTTACCATTACTTTGTGCAAGGAGCATCATGAAACACAAGACAAGTATCTCTTTCTTTGTTTCTTTTATACTCTCTAGTCAGTTTTCTTTCTCTTCTGTACCATCCTATAATGTTTTTCCATCTCAAATTTTTTACTTATGTGACCATTATTTGTACTATCTCATTTTAATGAAAAAGATTGTGAGTCATATTTGTCTATATTAGCTTCTAGCGCCACCATGGAGAGAGGGAAAACAAGGTGTGCATTGGTTTCATAGGAACAATATCACAGTGTGTATTTGGATAGTGGCTGGAACTCAAAGTTAGAGAATTTTGTAGCTCTGGTGGAAATTTCAAGATGAGTGAATGACCATATAGATACTCTGGCTAGTAATAATCATGAAGTCTTCATCCTCGTGTTAGAGTTTGGATAGTATGAAATCTGATATGAGGTTGATGACTTACAAACACCTCAAAATATATATGACTGAAAACTGGGTGCAAGATGTGTTGATATGTTTGCTAGAATAAATTTGGGCTTTCTGTAGTCCTCATGAAATTTGTATGGAGCTTTCTAGACTTCCCATGACTTAAGATTTTTATGATCTGTATATCTCCTTGATTCGATTTTATATATAACCTTCATTCAGATCTCATGGATTTTAATTTATTCCAGTTAATGAGGGTGTTGATAAGGTGCTACGTGATCACCCTATATTTCACCAATTCTGCTGAATCTTCAAGGGGGAAAAAAGACCTGATACCATCCTGATCTTGTTGAGTCTTTAGAGATCATCCTTGAATAGGTTGTATCTCCTTCTAGTCAATCTAGAGCCAACCTTTATATTCTTTTTTTTCACCATGAGAAAATAAAAGAAGCTGCCTTTCTACCATATGGCCTATAAACCACCATAAACATTTTGCTGCTCTTTTTTCAACGCCCACTTATATAAATTGTACTTCCCCAATCCATATCATGGTCCATTAAGTGCACCTTTCCAATAGCTTATCTTGTTTTCTCATCTCACTTCTCTTTTCCTTCAGTCTTCTCTTTACGGTTTCTTTGTGTCTTCTTTGATTTTGTGATGAAAATAATTGAAGCTTAAAATTAGGCCCAATAATGTCAAGAAATAAAAAAATTAAGACAGTTAATTATTGATACTGAGTTAGGATTCTAAGTTCTAAGCAGATACCTGTATCGTTTTTAGAATTTTATATGTTTGACATTTGATACTATTTTATTTATTTATTTATTTTTGTGCATATGCAGGAAGAATTTCAGTTGGCTCTCTTCAAGAACCGAAAGAAAGAGAATCTCTTCGCCAACAGGGTATCTGTGTAAACCTGCATTATATGCTTTATTCATATCAGCTAACCAATTTGTTGTATTACTTCTGAGATTCTGACATGCATTAAATTTCTTTGCAGATATTTGATCTGTTTGATGTCAAGCACAAGGGAGTCATCGATTTTGGTGACTTTGTTAGATCCCTCAATGTATTTCATCCAAATGCTCCTCAAGAAGACAAGATCAATTGTAAGTTGACTGGATGTGATATGTTGACTTAGAGTGTTGTGTCCATCCCTCATTTTCCATTGTAATTTGTGACTATATGTAATATCTGGAATCTTTGTGCAGTTGCATTCAAGCTTTATGATCTTGATAGTACTGGATTTATTGAGCGCCAAGAGGTATGTTGGAGGTTATTCTTTTCGTGTGCTCTGTCAAAGCAGTTCTTTTGGGACCCACTTTATGCTTTTTTGTCAAAAGTCATTTTACCTGGCTTGAGAATAAGATAATTACTAATATTCCTGTTCCGACGGGGAGCTTTCATTGTGAGTGTGTTCAAAACCATGATGGTGGGAATTTTCAACCACTCTACCAATGTACTAGAAATTTTAGCTCATATCCAGGGCATTGGTATTATTTTCCATGAGTTTAGCAATTAAAGTGGAAATTAGAAACATGAATATGAGTCTTCCCCTAGTACCATAAATGGAGGTTCTTCTACAAATATAAGATTGTCATTGTTACATGGTCAAGTCCTGTACTATTTTATTGAAGCATTGGATCTTTGAGTTTTCATATGACTCATTCTTCCCTGTTTTTTAACTTATGATGATTGGTGGGCACTTTGCTAGGAAAGCTTCTTCTGTATCATATCAAAATGTGTTCCATCCCTGAGCTTAATAAGCCTTTCCTTGTACTTATCAGCTTAAATTTTGTCTTGTACTTATCAGCTTAAACTTTGTCTAATAAGTGGTGAAGAAATAAAAAAGTTGCAGTTTGTATTCTAGATATCTTCGTTGATTCAGTTGTGCTTTATTTAATCATCTTTGCAGGCAACTTCATTATATGTGATTTTGGCAGGTCAAGCAAATGCTGATTGCACTTCTGTGTGAATCTGAAATGAAATTGGCTGATGAAACCATTGAGATCATACTTGATAAGGTGAGCTAATGCCATTGGATTTTAACTTACCTTGCCTTTTTCTTGGCTAACCTCAGTGTTACTAGGATTTTATTTTTCTCCGAACTTAGCTGCAGTATTAGCTTCTTTGAAAACCCTATGAACCAAATACTTTCCCAACGCCATCCCGACACTGAATTGGAGTTATACTATTATTAGTTCTTGATCTTTCTAGCATCTCTAGGAGTAATTAAAAAAATTGATCAGATGAACATTATTTGCTTTTTGCTCAATCATTAGATTCTGTTCAAAAAACTGATTTGAATTTGTGGATGTGTGACGTAAGTATAGGAAGATGTGTTGTTGAGGCAATAATTCTTTTCCAGTCATATTATTAATTTATTTCTTGCTTTTTGCATGTTTGAATTCGTGTTGATAGACTTTCATGGAAGCTGATGTGGACCAGGATGGCAAAATAGATAAATCTGAATGGCAAAATTTCGTTTCCAAAAACCCATCATTGTTAAAGATCATGACCCTTCCGTATTTGAGGTAAGTAATCGTGTAGGTTGTGTGTAATCTTTTGTTTTAGTAATCTCAGTTGCTTCCGACTGATATCACCTTTCCATAATGTAAATGCAGGGATATTACAACGACTTTTCCAAGTTTTGTTTTTAATTCAGAAGTTGATGAGATTGCTACGTAATTGAAACAGGAATTAGCATAGAAAATTTGTGTGTTATCCTCCTGTATTTGATTTTTGAAATTGAAGGGAACAGTGCTTTGATGCGTGACTGAGTACATACTTAGTTGAGTACTCAGTTAAAATTTGAAGCTTTGTGATGGAAGCAATATATTATTTGTGTAGTTATTTCCCAAATGTTAAAAGGTGTAGGTTTAGATTGATTTGATTATTTTCTTTTTTCTTCGTTTATTTCTGGTGCATTAATTTGAAATACGAAGTGATTCAAAGGATGTTGTATAAAATGTAGATGTGTGTCATCCCATAAATAGTATTCATTTAGTACACTCTTTGACACAGTTATTTTCAGCCCAATTTGTACTGGACTTGAACAGTTTTAATAGCTCCAATTGGTTGGCTTAGAGTGTTTTAATTTAATTCCTACTAAATTGTTAAATTTGTTCCAAATTATCTAATTTATTCATAAATTCCTTAAATTATCTTGAAATTTATTTTAATTTTATAAATCACCTAAATAATCCTGAAATGTATTTTTGATTTAATTTTACAAGTCCTTTTATGTCTAATATTGTTATTAATCTATTGTAAGTTTTCAATCTTTTGAATCCCAATACAATTTAACAATTATAGATCTAGTAACCAATTGATTTACAAGTTGGTGGCCTTTGCTAATTGAAATATCTACTGGTATAAGGGAATACTCTATGGTAGCGTTTGGTTTGGGGTAATAAAAGAAAACTTCGGTAATCTATTTTTTAATTCGATCATTATCATGTTTAATTGTCAAGTAATAAAATATTTTATAATCTTTTAATATTAATAGTGATTATAAAATATTTTATAATCTTTCAATATTAATTGTGATTATTATAGGTAATATGAGGAGTAATCCGATTATCAACTAAAAGAGTGTTATATTTTTTATTATCAAGGTAATCCACTATCCGTACTAATTTTACCATTAATTAATAAACATTTTAAACATAAATGTCCTCATTTGTCAACCAAATAATAATTAGCTCAAATGTGGAAAATGACTTTTGTAATCTCATAAATTATTTTTTTGGACAAAAATGCCCTTCACTATTTGATCAATAATACCCAAAAGATCCCCAACCACCCAAGACGACCGTTGTCTGTCAGCTGCCATCGTTGGCTGTTGTTGATAAACATTGAAATAGTGCACGACCGATTGGATCTGGCCAACCGTGCGTCGATTTGGTTGGAAACAACGATCTAGCTAGATTGACACAGTCAATCAAATCCGGTCGATCGTATGCCGTTCCAACGACTATCGATGGTGGTCGGCAATGGTGGCCAATGGTCGGTAGTCATCTTGGGCGGCTAAGGGTATTTTGTTAAATTTTAAACTTTTATTGTGGTTGGGATATTTTAACTAAATTCTCAAATGTAAAAGTTAAAACTTAAAAGTAATACTCTAAATAATAATAATAATATTAAAAAGGAAAGACAATTCAGTAAAAGCCTCTCCGATAATATTTTATTCCTCTCAACCAAACATATTAATTATTTATGTCCATCGATCTAACCAAGCACATTAATATAACATTTATCATTAATCTTCAAGGTAATATATTTTTCCATTAATATAACATTCAGTAATACAATATTCTATGAACCAAATGTTACCTATAAATTACTAAAATTATTGGTTAATTTCTTTTGCTAATTTTAAGAAATTTGTGTTAAAGTCCAGTAGTTATGGGTTAATCCCTTTTGATAATTTTATGAATTAGTTAAATTATCCTGAAATATGGGAAGTACCTACAAATTGTATGGGGCTTGAACACCACTTTTTTTAAAATGAGTCGTTATGCCCATAACCCAATCTCACACACTTCTCTCACAACCCCAATATGTCAACTGAGTTGGCACTGTCATGTCAGCTCCGCCACACACAAGGCACAAAATGATTTTGACTAGACCTAAGAAACAGTCGTTCCTTCATAGAGAATGATCGTTCCTTATGAAGGAATGGGGAATGGTTGTTCCTTTATGAAGGAATATCCATTCTTTATAGACGAATGATCGTTCCTTTCATAAGGAACTATCGTTCCTTTATAAAGGAACGACCGTTTGTCCCTAACAAACGATCGTCTGTATTTAGTCAAAGTCACTTAGTGTCTTGGGGTATGGTGGGAGTTGACGTGACAGTGCTAACTCAACCGCCACATTGAGGTTGTAAGAGAAAGTTGTGAGATTGAGTTGTGGACGTAGTATTATTGTTTGAAAATAATGACATGTACAAGTGGGTTGTCATAGGTTCAAGTCCAACCATGAGTCTATTAGCATTGGTTAGGTTAGACATGGATGGAGTAATTTGGGTTGACATGGTTAGACTTGCAAGCTCGGTATTGTAATTTTTAGTTTTCCTATTAAAATTTATTACAGTAAGTATAATTATTTAACAAACAATGTAATTATTTTATAAAATGTTTGAGTGAGAAATTGTGACTCGGTAGAGAGCTGGGGATATAAGTGATTTTTCCCCATTATTAATTACTATACACATTTTTTATAAACCTATTGAAGATTAACGCAAGTTTAAAAACACACTAAACGGGACAATATATATATAATTGAAAAATAAATCNAAGAAGGTCAAAATGTGACAGAAGAAATATCAAAATTCTGCAGTTTTGATAACATGAAACATTTTTAGAGGTGAGATGGTAGAGTCAATGAAGGGATTAAAACTAAAGTCTTCTTTAGGAAAGGGATGGCGGGAGATCATACAAATTATTTAAAAGTCCTCAATGTCAGAGCGCCTACTGAAGATACATTGGAAGAGAAATTGGGTGGATGTGGATCTGGTTTTACATTAAAAAAAAACATTATTTAGTGATATATTAAAAAAATCCCTCTTAATTAATCTAAAAAACATATATATATATATATTGTTGATACAGAAATCTGCACCAACCAACGAGATCCAATCGACTTTATCGGGATCGGAACTGATGTGTGCGTGATTACGAGTAATCAACGATGAATGAATGATAATGCCAGAAAGTAAATGACGAAGAGAACTTTTAAAGTGGTTTGACGAAGTTAAACTGCCTACATCCACTGTGTTTTGTGCATATGCTGTGAGAGCTTACAATATAGTTGTAATCCAGAATTCGTATCCCCCTTCTCATCGTTTTAGGGGGTATATATACAAGATTTACATAAAGAAAAAGAGCAAAATTAAGGGGATTACAAATTATTTGAATCATAATTCCGATATCCTTGCGATTGAGCGGTATGATCGTGCAACGATAATTGTTGATCCAGTCATTCCTACGATATCCGGGATCTGAAGTAATTTGGAGATTGATTGATTAATTCCTGAGATTGTCCGCGACTAGCCTGTATTGGGTCAAGCTACAGCTCGACGAGCTTATGCTGGGTCGATCAATCATAGTCGCTGAGGTCATTCTGGGCCAAGATATATCCTTGCGTTGGCCCGAGCTTGGGGAAAAACCACACACAACATATGCCTCCTAGTGTTCGATGCTCATTTCGGGCTTCAAAGACTATCGCTCGATTTGACGCCAAGCTCAGCTTCAATAGTGAGTCTTTGAGTGCATGCTCGATCGGGCTTCCATGACCGACCTTACGTCTGGTTTACGTTCTTCACACTTGGACATTATTACCTGTGCCACCTGTCAAAACTCAAAATACAAAAAGTCAGGGTATAAATGTAATTTTTGCGTGGTCGTGTCACATTAAATGTGGCAGCCTTTGTCAGTTATGTTTCGTCGCGCTTGGGCGATAACAATTGTTCATGCATGAAGTCGAGGCGTCGTGCGGCGACGGTTATCATTTCTGACGGTTCGTAGTACCTCATGGATGGTCAACACGTGGCCACGTCTAAGGGCTGAGATCATTTAACGAATGAAGGGCTAGGATCAGTTATGAGTCGATGGTCGAGATTGAACCTCGCCCTTTTGTCTTCCATGCAAAAATCACTATAAAAGGTGGCGAATACTCAAAACAATCATTCTGAAAGTTCTTCCACCCTCTTACTTTTCTTTGCCGTTGCTCTTACATCGTTGCAGTGGTCTTTCTTACGAGTTCTCAACCCACTTCTTTATTCTGGTAAGACTTCTTTCTCTTCCTTGCTCATTTTTTTTTACTTTTGTGCTAAAAGGATGTCTGCTGTAGTGGCCTCATTGGATGTTTTAAGATTTTACTAGGGTTTTGGGGTGCATTTCCTGCGATCTTGGGTTTTAAAGGGGTTTAATGGCGGTGGCCGCTGGTGTCCTGGGTAGGTCGCGTGACTTCGTTGTGTTGTGCGAGCCATTTTGGGTGCCTCAGATGGAAGCGAACGTGGAATGGTCGCCGAGTTGTTCAAACTCTAACACATGTTCGCTTCTTTTCTCAGGTACCTAGAGTCAAGTTACAACCATGTCCTCGTCTAGCAGTCGCACAATAGATCAAATGTTCAACTCATCGGTTGGCTCGACTATACTAGGGGATGTGTCCCCCGAGATATCTGAAGAGTTTGTTGCTAGAAGCTCGAACCCCGACTCTGCGAGCTTGTTCGACCGTGCTTCGATCCAACTAGCTCATTCCCCGCAATCTCCAGCTCACAGGCTATGAAAAGAGCCACAATCCTCGATCACCCTTGGGGATCTTGAATGTATTTGGGCGAGCTATGCGCCGCAGCTCAACTTGATGGCCCTAGGAGAACACTCTCGAAAGAACCCTTTAGTCAGATGGCTGGCAACTTCCGAGACTCTTCTCAGGTGCGGGGTATCCATTCCCCTACACCTTTTCATCGTAAAGTGTTGAGGAGATTCAACATCGCTCCTCTCCAACTAACGACCAATTCTTACTTGATCATTACTGGGATATACATCGCGTACATGATCGCTGAGCTAGGCGAGCGGTCCGTCGAAGAGCTTGTACACTTGTACAGGCTCAAAAAGGGGCAAGGCTGTTAGGATTCATGCATTTTGGACATAGAATGGTGTAACATGGATGAACAAAGTGATGGATGCAAGGTAGAACACAAACATAACACATAAGCCCAAAACATTTCAAGGTAAGGATAGAATATTACCTACTCCTTTGCTATTCAACACTTGAATCTTCTTTCTTGGAATCTTAGTTTTTCAAGTGAACTTGAAGAACCTCAAAATGTGATCCACACAAGTCAAGGAAGAGAGAGCAGAGAGAATGAGAGAGTGATTTTGCTTTTATTGATTCAATTTTATCAAAATGGTATAAAACTTAATTTATATACCATGGGCACAAAATGTAATTTTAAATTGTTTTGGGAAGGCCTCAAACAATTTAAAATTTACTTGAGAATAAACATTTATGTCAAGTCCTTGGTTTTATGGTTAATTC